ACAGGACCTAGTTGAGGCTGTGCCCTTGGCTGTGGGTGAGCAATTCTGAAACTGTACCTATGTGCAGTGGAACTGAACGGATGGCGCCCAGTGGGAGCCAGGGTATCACTGTTGGAATGGGAAGTTGGAGCTAAGCCACATATGTTTGGCCCATCATATATGGAAAGAGGTCCATGTGGTAATAATTTGGAATTGGAGACGTCAGTGTGAACTTGTGTTTAGCTTGACAGAGATAGGGATGGTCACATCCAGGAAGACCGATAGACAGAAGAGGCATGAACACAGGTGATGGCCACAACATAGCTCTCCTTGCTTGGTTACTAAGAAGGGTCTAGAAGCAATGATTTCCTCAGCACCACCAGAGACTGGCTACCAACAGTTCTCCAACAAAAGGGACCAGCACGCCTCGTAGAAATGACTAATTCTGGGACTGGGGCAGAAATTCACAAAGTGAGCATCCCATAGTTGCAGGGAGTAAGGAAGTGATCAAAATCTAACAGTAAATAAAAACAACTTTTAAAAGCCTCTAAATAGGCAACAATAAATAAGTGAGGAAGAAAAGACAACTCTCACAGACAGAAAAATTCCAAATCATTTGTGTAATTCCAAGCTGGGTGGGGTGGCTCACACCTATAATTCTAGCTAAGCTACCCAGGAGGCAGAGATTGGGAGGATCCAGCTTCAAAGACCCCCATCTCAATCAGTGGCTGGGCATAATGGGATCCAGTGGGGAAGCACAAACAGGAGAATCACAGTCCATAAAGTGAGACTCCATCTCAAAATAACCAAAGCAAAAAAGGCTGGAGGCATGGCTCAAAAAAAAGGGGGAGACCAACACTACCTGTGACAGGTGACCACGTGGTAGATCAGGCTTAGCAGGCTGCCATACTGATATCATGTGTTTTTTAAATATGTGATGAGCCTGCACTGTACCTCTTTGGTCTTCCCCCAAAACACATGGCTAACTTAAGAACAAACCAGACAAAGCTCAACAGAGAAAAAAATACCTGACCATTACTCTAAAAAAACAATGTGTCATCAAAAAGAACCCACCAAGAGGAACCCAAGGAGACAGGACAACTAAATGCAGTGTGGTCCTGGATAGGGTCCTGGGACAGAAAAGGGGCATTAAAGAGAAACTAAGGAAATGTGAGTGAAGTATGCATAAGATTGGCTCAGTCACTGTGGTACAAGTGCCACGGTACTATAAGAAGTTCGTAACCGGAGGGGAAATGGGGGTCAGCTAGACCTTTCTGCTCTATCTTCACAATAACACCACAAATCTAAAACTGCTGCAAAATTAAAACTTTATGAAAATTTTTATAAGAAAAAATAAAGCCAGGTATGGTGTCTCGCTCTTGTAATCCCAGCACTGGGGAGGCTGAGGCAAGAAGCCAGCCAGAGCAACATAGCGAGGTCCTATCTCAAAAAGAAAAAGATAATAGAAAGCAGGATTCACTCTGTGGGTAGATATTATTATAAATACTAGTGATTAATGTAATGTGCTGCTGGCACAGAATTGTCATGCAACAGAAGAGAATGGAAAGCCTAGATCAATTCCTAGTAGATGAGGTAATCTGGGGAAAAGCCAGATCCAAATGGTGACAAAGAAGACCATCTGATAAAATGTACCTGCACGGTTCCAGGAGAAGTGTACTAGATTTCTTTTGTATATGCCTTCAACAATTTTTTTGATTTCAGGTGAAAGAATTAAATGCCAAGAGAGAAAACAAAACAAAAAATCCAGAACATCTATCTAATTGAGTTTATGATAGAAAAACTAAAAATCATTTTTCTAAATATGTAAACAAAGAAATCACAAAAGGGAAAAAAAATCACTAGATTTCTCTACATAAATATTTAAAGGAATCACAAGCAATATGAAAATGCCAATGACCAGGGAAAAATCAATTTCTCTCTCTCTCTCTCTCTCTCTCTCTCTCTCTCTCTCTCTCTTTCTCTCTCTCTCTCCTTCACACACATACATCTAATGAATACTTGAAACTGTATTTAGACTCAAAAGCAATTAAAACAAGATGATTTCCCATCTTTTGAATTAGGGCAAAAACATGTTTCCTAGTTCCTAGTGTTGGGGACAGCTCACTGCGAGGGCCCCTCAAATGCTTCTGGTGAAACATTCCAGAAAACAAGTCGAAGCGCTGCCACCCACCCCATGTGTTAAAAATGGCCTCAGAATTCCACTTGAGGAACTTCATCCTACAGAGAAGCCAATGGAAGTTGCTTCCATTGGGATCCTGTCTCCAAAACCAAAACAAACCAAAAAACACCAACCAAAAAGATGCAGACAAGATTGCAACACTTAACTAGAGAAAAACTGAAAATGATGGAAATTTCCAGCCAAATGAGTGGGTTAATAGATTCCTCACTTTTCTGCTCTGGGAACATGCCACTTTTGGCATTTAAAAACTTACAAAAACATTTCCAACTGCTGTATCTGCCCTGTGGATTCTGTTGGTGCTTGCTTTTGGAAAACCCTCCTAGCTAGCAGACCTGGGAGGCCTGTTAGCTACAACTCCTATTTCTCAAGTTCATCTTCCACCAAAGAAATTCCTTTTGGTGATTCAAAAGCTGCAGCCAAGCCTAAACCCCAGCTCCAGTCCCTGCTCAGAAGGCAGCAGTGGCAGCTCCCCAGCCCATAGAAGGAAATGCAAGTGTTCCAAACGCTCCTAGCCTGGCCCCGCTGGATCTAGTCCTGCCCCCACCCCTCCCTGCTTCTCTCCTCCCTTTGCTGCTGAGGCTCACACACACACCTGTCCCTCACACCAGATTCTTCTCCAGCCATCACCAAGCCAAGCCTCTGCTAGGCAAGCAGTCAAAATCCAACAGTCATTCCGGTTCCATGCTAATCTTCTCTGTGTCGTTCCAATTTTAGTATATGTGCTGCCGAAGCGAGCACTCATTCCAGTTCCCTGTGCCCTCTGGTCATGCAGCTTCTCAGAGAGAGCCTTTCCTTGGTCCCCTCCCTTGAGGACCAACCAACAGCCAGGCACTGTCACTTTCTACTCCCCACCTGTCCTGTTCCCACCAGGCCACCCTACCACCTTTCATGCTGTGATCTTCCCTGGGCTCTACCCAATTTGAGGTCTCAATTGATACTGGAGTCCCCCTCCATGTGGAAACTGGGGGTTTGTAGGGAGGACGATTTGGGGAATCCAGGAGGAGGAGTGGGTTTTTTGTTTCAGGGAGGAAGGAATGATGGGCTGAGCCTCCAGACGGCTGGAGAGATGCATGCCAGCTCAGCCCCCCGAGAGGAGAGGAAGGAGGAGGGTGTCCCTCCCTGAAGTTGATGGCCAGAAAGGGGACAGCAAGGACAGCCCTCAGGAGCCCAATCCTGGGCTTCAGGGCACTTACTACATTTGTTCCAAAAGGCTGCATGCTGCCCTGCAGCTGGAACCAAGCGTTTCAGAGATAAACCCAGGTTATAAACCAAGAATGACATCACCCTGGCAGGTGGCCTTGGGGAAGTCTTACTGGTGTCCTAGTCTCAATTTCTCTAAAGGCGTGGTTTAGATGTATAAGCTCCTTCGGTGTGTTCCTAAAGTCAAAGAACAATCCAGAAAAGTGGGTGAGCACTGGGGAGAGAAAGGCTGAGCTGCGTCCCAGCTGAAGCCATGGGTCCAGTTCACACCCCACCTTCTCACAATGCCCCAACCTTGCTGCTCCTCACACCCCAAGGTGGCAGCTGTCCTTTTGGTGTTTCCAGAAATCCTTCTGGGCTTTGAACCACAGGGCCCCACAATGCCCAGAACTCCTGGAAGCAAAAGGGGCCTGCACACCCACGACGACAACACTTGGCCTGAACACTGCCTGGGAATTGTTCAAGTACCTGTAATGACGCTGCAATTAATAAATCACGTTCTTCTAAGAGGGTCCACTAACCTGCGTACCATCGGTTTTGTGTGTTTCCTCTGCACAAAAACACTGCACAAAAACACTTTACTCTGCAATTTTGCAAAGACTGGGGATGGGGAGGCTTTTTTTTTTTTAAGCTACCCTCTGGATAGAGAGAGGCGATGATGGAGAGACAAGGGATAATACAGCACATAAAATCGAGGGGACGCAGGTGTTCAATGTTCTGGCTTTCCCCATTTCATTGTTAAATTTGAAATTTTTCATTTAAAAAAAAAAAAAAGGTGGAGGGAAAGCAGTCCCGCTGTCAAGACTGGCTACTTGTCAAGAGCACTCCACAATGCTGTCCAAGGAAACTTCCAAGGTGGGGCCAAGTGCCGCGCCCCTAACCCTGAGCTGCAAGGCAGGGGGTTCTGGGACAGCTAGGGGCATCCTGCATGGAAGAAGGAGCTGAGATGGGGGACCCACAGTGAGAATTGGTAGGTGGAGCGCTGACCCGGTTGTCCAGGGCAGCCACTGCTTTCCTAAGGAAGGCAGGCAAAGGGCAAGTCGCTGTAGAGAGGGATGCTCCCCTTGTGAGTTCCTTGGTGGCCCCACGGCCTGCCTTTGGGGATGTCCTCGCCTCCAAAGCCCGGACTGGGAGTGAATTCTAAGAAAAACAAACTGCATGGGAGCAGGGCGCCTCATATCAACATCTCAGCGTGCTCTCACCTTTTCACAATCAGGGAATGCGAAGCTCAGGGAGGTGAGGTCCCTTGCTGGGGTCGCACAACTAGGAAGTAGCTGCGCAGCATTTGAACGTTGAGCCCCCCACCCCCAGTCCACCCCAACCCCACCACGCCCCCTCCCCTGGCTCTCTGCCGCTATCCCGACAGCACCACCAGGAAAGCACAGGAGAAGAAGGGAAGAAAGATGCCTCGAGGAGATAAGGGACGCTGCAATGGCTGCCCCAGGTAACCTGGGTCCCGGAAGAGTGATTGTGGCAGAGGCGCCCCCGCCCAGTCACCGGTCACCGCGTGCCCGCGGACCTACAGGTGCGCCCAGGGCGCAAAGGTGGCGCGCGTCAGGTGAGCGCGCGCAACGACTGGGCGCAGGGCGCGGGGCACGGGGCGGGTGGGAGCCCTCGCTACCTGGGTCGTGGAAGGGCACCAGCACGTAGTTGGCGATGGCCTGGCTGCGGCTGCTCAGGCTGCGCTCCAGAATGCGCGAGGCACCGTCGATCACCTGCATCAGGTCATCCCACATGGAGCCAGTAACATCGAAGACGAAGGCCAGGGTGGCGTCGCCCGTGGTGGGAGGCAGCGCGGTCCCGGGCGCGCCTGCCACCGCTGCTGCTGCGGAGACAGCCGCCAGCAGGCGCAGGAGCGGCGCCCCGGGAGTCATGCTGAGCGACGCGCAGGTCGCAGCGAGCGATGTCGCCCGGGTGCACCCTGCGGCCACCCAAAGCACGGTTGCAGCGCGCGGTGTCTCGGGCCGCGGCTGGTGCAGCTGGTGCGCGCGGGACAGGGGTGCGCAGTGGGGTCCCCCTACTGGGAGCCCGAGGCGGGTCCTAGAGCCCACCCCGTTCAGGGTCACGGCCCGCCTCCTCCGCTCCCCCCGCCGTGACTCAAATTTTCCCACCCCCGCTGCTAGCCAGTCCAGCCCCGAGGTTAGAGGAGGACGCGGGACAGGCGGCAGAAAGGAGGTGGGGCGGCGGCCGCGGGGGCTAGGGATGGGGATGCGCGGGACGCGCGGACACCTGCGACTCTGGCTGTCTCCACGCGCCCATGCGGGCCTCTCTGCGGGGGCGGGAGAGGGAGGAGCAACAGGGCAGCTGCCATCCCCACGCCTCCATCCCCACGCCTCGCCCAAGTCTGCCCTCACTCTGCAGCCTTCTACACACACACACACACACACACACACACACACACACACACACACACTCAGTTGACACTGAACTTCCAGTTATTTTAATTAATACTGATATCTTCAACAGCTCTATGCTCAGCACCCAGCGCGTGCTAAGAATTTAACAGGTATTATTTCCTTGACTGCTCACTGAAACCCCCAAGCGCGAGACACTAAACCCATTTTTACACATAAGGATCAGAGAAAGTAAAGTGGTAAAGACAGGATCAGAAACCAGATGGAGAAAAACTCTGAAGCCTGGACTCTGCTACCTCCTCTGCGTGTTATGATGTTATAACAGGTCATCTGAGGACCCCAGGGAGTGGGGGTGGGGTAGAGCTAGGGCTCTAGCCACCTAGCTCACCAGCCTCATGGATTGCATGTTACGATTCAGTCATCCCCACCCTGACCATCTCCCTTTGCCCTCTGACTGGGTCAGGGTGCTCCCTCTGCCATCTGACTGATCAGGTTGCTCTCTGTGACATCCACCCACAGTTGTACATCTTTCTTTGCTCTCTCCATCTGTGCTATCCTGGTTTGTTTCTCTCCCCAACAGCCTGGTAGCCCCTTGGACCTTGGGGGCAGGGCTGTGTCTTGGTTCCCCTAGGATCAGCCTCCAGTTCCCAGCCTAGTCTCTGGTACTCACTAAAAATTGCTGGAATAAAAAACATACGTAAGCTTTTGTGGCTAGTCCTGATTTTGAGATTTCTGTGGGAGATCCTCAACCTTGGTCTTTCTTCTGCACACCATTGTCCCAGGGTAGGGATGGGTAGCCCCCTGGACACAGAGTCTATTGTTTTGCAGGGGGAGTTCTCCAGCACCTGCTCTGCAGAGCCCTCAGCCAGGAGGAAGGCCCTACTCCACCCTATCTGTCCTCCTTTCCCGTCAACCTCAGTTCACCCATCTGTGAGGCTGCTGTGGCCCCCTTGTCCTGCAACCCCCAGCCGCTTCTCTGAGCCCTGGTTCTCGCCCTGATCATGCCGTATAACCAGGGTCATGTCTGGAGGTCTGCCCCTCCCACGCCAACAATGAGCTCCATGACAACAGAGATCCAGTGGCAGGTGTCCAATGAAGGTACAGTACCTACAGGGCACAGCAGGCGTCAGAGAAGTTGGGTGGCTAGGTGTTTGGCCATGGGCAGAGGATGCAGCTCACCTCCTCAATGACTCAGGTCTAGACCAGGGCTGGGGTCCCAGGGAAATGGTCTCCTGTGGAGCTGTCTGTCTTGTGGGACACAACAGAAGCCAGATCCCCAGACCCAGTATGGGAGTGGAACTTACAACCAAGTTCAATAAGAAACTGAGTCACCTGCACTTGTGATCACTGGCTCTTTAAACCTCCCTGGGTAAAGGCCACTATTGCCCCCAGAGTCTGAGCAGGGCTGAGCCAGCTGTTGGAAAGAGAAGAGGCCCCAGCTGCAGGAAGGCAAAAGCAAACAGGAGCCAGGAACCAAATGGTGATAGTGCAGGCCTACAGCAGGAGACCCTAGACAAATGGGTCTTTTGGTTTTTCATTCCACAAACATTTGCTGTGCCTAAGCAGTGTGTCAGGCACTCTGCAAGGCCCCATTAGTGTGGGAAGGGGAGGGGGAGAGACAAAGATGCAGAAGAAGACACGCTCCTGCCCTGGGGAGAAGACACATGTAAACAAATAATTCTAACTCAATGAGATATGTGCTAATAGAGGGATTACCGAGAGCTCTGGGAGCCGGGAGGAAGGAGGGACTGAGCCTAACGGGTCAGAGGAGGCCACAGAGCCAGCCTGAGAAGGCCTCAAGAACAAAGGAAGGGCATTTGCCTAGCCAGAACAGCTTGTGCAAAGGCGGGAGGTGTGTCAGCAGGTCCAGTGTCGCTGGAGGGCGAGGGATGACAGAGGAGGATGAAGCAGATCAGGAAGGACCTTAAATACCTTGTGAACCTCTTGTGGGTTTTCCAACAGCACTAGGGAGCTATTGAAGAATGTAAATTCCAGAAGCAACCTGATCCAATCTATTTTCAGACAAGTCATAGCGGCCGAAGTTCAGAGGGTAGAACTTGCAGAGGCCAGGAAGCTATAAACCTTCTCACAGACAGGGATGGTGCCTCCAATGGCCCCAGCAAAGCAAGGTGCTTCTCCTTAGTCTGGTCACAAGGAGCAGACAGAGCCACAGATACAAGTTCTGAAATGAACTGGTGATCTTGAGAGACGTCTTCCTTCCTGGGACTTGGTTTCCCTATTTGTAGAATGACTTGAGGTGGATGAGAAACCTGAAAGATGCAGGCAGCCCTATCACCCTGGAGCCCCCACCAGGGTCCCTTGAAAATCTGGGAAAGAGGAGAGAAGGGTCCAATCTCATACTGGCTTCGTCCCAGTGCCATGGAAGAGAACCTTGGGTCACCCACCTGCCATTCCTCCTTCTGGCCAGATCCCACTGCTGGCCCAGGGTGGCCAGGGGCTGCTTCAAGCACAAGCTTCTTGGGTGCCCAGGACGTCCCAAGTGTGACCACGGTCATGAAACCAAAGTGAGCAGACCTGCACTTGCCAGAGAAGCCACAACTGAGTCTCAGCCACTAGTTCCCATCCTGCCACCTCCACTTCTCTGGGCCCCCTGGGAGCCTGCATTTTTAACTCAATAATCCACACGTTTTCCTCTATTTGCAGAAGGAGCGGTCTCAGTGGACATGCTTCCTAACGTGCCACATGTTTGCTATGGAGAGCCACGTCAGCTTATCTGATTAAAGGAAGCATGCACTGTTGTGCCCTGGCTCAGAAATCCAGCCCTGTTCCCTGTGCCTGCATGGGGGTCGAAGGCCAGCCGGGGAGTTAGATCAGAACCCAAGAGCCTGGACACTGGGCTGGTCAGAGAAGAACGGCTTCTCTATGCCAAGTGTCCTTCTCACCTCCTCTGCATCCCACTCCTTAAGTGCACCAGGTCTGGGCCATTTCAGATGTTCTATTGTCCAGCATCCCGTACTCACCTCACCCCGCCCAGCCTCCCTCCTGAGGGTACCTGCTGTGTCCCTCAGAAAGAGTGAAAGCACCAACAGTGGGCACCGTGTGCCAATCTTCTTGAATCACCAGACCCTGTGTGAGTAACTCTGAGTTAGCTCCTTCCCACAACCTCCAGCACCATTTCCTTGTCATACCATGGATGGGGAAACCGAGGCTCAAAGACAAGCCTGTGTCTAGACTGGACTTTGCATGCACATCTCCTTCCTTCAAAGCCTGTGATCCACATCCCTCCACCCCACCTCAAAAACTCAGGGCAGAACGTCTAGAACTAACACAGAGCTCCACGTCTTTGCAGACTGGCAGTGTCCTCACAAGCCACTGTGCCAGCGGATTTGACTCAAGTTTTGGGCACTTCACACGTCTGTAGTGCTGTAGAGACATAACCCACCCACCCAAACGCCTGGGCAAGAGGAGGAGATGGAGAAACAGCTGCGTCAATGAAGCAGGGGACAGTGCCAGCCCTTCACTGAGAAGCCAAATGAGATCTGAAGTCATTTCTCCCTCCAGGAAGAAGTGAAGGCTTAAATGGGGGCCTGGAGGGCAGGACGAGCAAGAAGGTGGAGGAGCTACTGAGGACAAGCAGAGCGGCCGAGGAGTTAGAGCTGCACAGCCACACAGGCTCAGAGCTGACAGGCGCTTGAATAATTTACTGTCGTATCCAGTCCCCCCACCCCCAGAGGGACTAGTCTCCAAGTCACGTGTACTATAAGGAATGGTTTGAGGCCATCCCAAGAAATACTGGAGCAGCTCCAGAGACACAGGGACCGCTGTCCATCCCCATGTTTTTAAGAACAAATAAGGAAAAGCTGAGCCAGAGTCAATGACTCCAAGACTCGGTCCCCACTGTGCAACCCAGTCTGCTGGTCCCAGTGCACAGCTCCTGGGTGGCTGAGCAACTGATGCTGCCACAGGAGGGGCCCACCTCCTTGGCAGGAGGTCATTGCTCACTGTTGAACTGTGTGCTGAGCCTTGCTGTCATCTATGGCCATTATGTCACCTTCATCAGTGTCATCGGAGGCTGACACCAGCATACACGATGTGTTGAGGTTTTCCACCTGTCCTTCTTGTCCTTTTTCCCTCTCTTCCCCTTGCTCATCATGAAAACTCCACTGAACCATCTCGGGTAGTTTCTTTCTACTGTAACCTCGTTCCCCACTTCCTCCTGGAAAACTCAACTTTGCTCCATCCCCTCGGCTTTCCTGGTTGAAAAGTCTACACTCCTTCCTTATGACTTGAACACCACCCTCCCCCGCCAAAGGCAATCCTGATGGTCCCATCCTCCTTGCCTGGAACTGGGCTGAGAATGAACATTTGATGTCGTTCTGGCCACCGGGACCTGAAAGAGCATGTGCCAGGGTGTCTCCCAAAGAGACACAGCAGAAAGAAGCCAGAGGCCTTCCTCTCCTTGAAGCCTTAGTCTAAAGCAACAGGGGTAAAGAGGGTGTGGCAGAGGCAAGAGGTCAGTAGGACAGAATAAAGAGCCTAGAAATAGATACACAGGTATGTGATCAATTGATTTTTGACAAAAGTATCACCAGGAAAGGATGGTCTTTTTTCTGCTAACAGTATTGGGACAGCTGTATATCTCTCCAGAAAAGCAAAGAACCTGAATCCTTATCTCACACCATATACAAAAATTAACTGGAGATGATTCATTTCATAGGCCTAAGTATAAAAGATGAGAAATTAGACGGCTTCTAGGACATGGACAACACACACACACACAGAAGA